CCTCTCTCTCTCGCTCTCTCTATCTCTCTCTCTCTCTCGCTCTCTCTTGCTCTGTCTCTCTCTCTCTCATTACGATTGACTGCACCGCGGCATCGGCAATCGATCGTCAGCTCGTTAGTCACGAGTTTTATTCAGTTATTCAGCGTCTCGACAATTTGTTGGCCATTTTCATATATTTTTGTTTTTACCAATGTTTATTTTAAAAACAAACGCCCCCGCCCTCCGCCGCATCCTGCCCCATCGTGCTCTGTTCTATGGACTACACTTATTAATAAGTTTATAATAATATTTCTTTATATATTCGCCGAAGACGCCAGCTGATGATATTCTGCTGGGGTCGTCAGTTTGTGTCCGCTGCTCGTTATGCGCACTTCTCACTTCTTCTCCTTGTTGTTGTTGTTGTTGTTGTTGTTGTTGTTTACCTTGGTGGCAAATTTTGTTTACAAGTTCTAGTACCATCATCAGCAGCAGCAACAGCAGCTTCTTCGATCTTCGTTGAGCGCCAATAGACCCATAAATTGTGTGCGCCTCATTACGATTATTATATTTGGCCGAATCTGTGAATCTCGTATCCCGATACGCTGCCGCTGCTGGACAATGTTCGTGTGCGCCTCGTTTCGTTTTTGGCCAAAGACCCGCAATCGTTGCTAATTCCGCATTGTTTTTTTTTATTCCGCATTCACAATCGGATTCGCACGGTCGACTTTTAAAGAGCGCGTTCGAATTCCCAACAGCTTCAAGCCAAACAAGGCAGTCAGCTTAGCCCGGGATCATGTCTGTCTGGATGACCTATGTGCAGCATCGTCGCATGGATGCAAATGCACGACAGCGCACAGAACTCTATTATCTCGTGAGTGTGTGTGTGTGTGTGTGTGCGGAATTGCTTTCACTTGTCAATTGCTAAAAATGTGTAAAAACCAATTTTAGATCAATTTACATATGACAAAGAAATCGATCATTATTGTGCTTAACATTTAACGAGTTATAAAGCAAATCCGTTGGAAATTGAACACACTGATTCCATATACAAGCTTTTCACTCATATTCCACACATATTGATGGAAGCCCATTTGAATGCTCACTGAACGTTCGCAAATATACAAATATTTACATGTACTAAATGTGTTTTTTTTTTTTTTTGTGTTTGTGTTTACATTTTAAAGTTCCCCAAGTGTCAAGATGTATATTTATTGAGCTATATCACAAAGCTCATAGAGCTTTAAATATTTAGGTCGTATGGAAAACTTGTGTGTTTTAGGGTATCCCTAAGCAAACCAGCTAAGTAACGAATCGGGCTACTATATATCGTATGACTTCTAACAGAACAAACTACGGACATAAAGCTTTGCTCCAAAAGCCAGATATCTGCAAGAGTATTACAAATTCAGCGACACAAAACGGCGTGTGGCAGCCCTACAATTGAGTTGCTAGTCAAAACGATGTGGCAACTCTGCAACTCAGCAAATTTAACATGATGTTAAAGTGCTTGTTAACCCGCCGTAGCCATTGTGGGGTTAAACGCATTGGCCAGCGGCCAACGGCCAGCGACCAGCGGAATGCGCAGCTTTGTCCCTGGCATAGAAAAGATCTTTTGGCTTTTGCGCGGCTATTTATAGAGTTGGACAACCCGCTAACCCACTTGCAACAGCTCTCTTTTGGCGCTCCAAAGCACTTGTGACACGCTCTCTAATTGGGCTTGTGTTTGTTTATCCACAGCAACGGCATTCACAGCCGGAACTGGAGCATCATGGACTTGTCGCGGGGACGACGGCGCGCAGTCCACGTCCGCTCTCCGAGGCCAACAATTGCGAGGCCGCCATTGAGGCGCCCAAGTTTTCGAATGGTGATGCCGCGTCTGAGAACAAGCGCGCCAGCAGCCATAGCAACTCACAGGACACCGCCTCGGCGGGCAGCGGCAGCGGCAGCGCTGGCAGCAGCAGCGGTGGCGGCGGCGCCGGCGGCAACGGCAGCAGCAGCAGCGCCAGCGCCAGCACCAGCGGCGAAAGGAAGCGCGCCCTGCCCAAGCATCAGCGACCGCTGACACGTTACCTGCCCATCTTCTCGCCGGATCTGAATCTGCGGCATCACATCGAGACCGCCGGCCATCAGATCGATCTCTGTCCGCATGTGTTTGTCGATGCGCACAGCTGTCGCGGGTGAGCAACAATCTGATGCTGATTATATGCAAAATATATCACAAATATATCAAATATAATGAAACCCATTTCAGTTACCTGCACAAATTGGGCGCCACATTTCATGCCTGGTCGAGGCGCTGGTTTGTCCTGGATCGTCAGCGCAGCGCTCTCATCTACTACTCGGATAAGTCGGAGCGCAAGCCACGTGGTGGCGCCTACTTTGCCGTGAGTACAACAAAATAAACATGACTAAGGCTATCTATTAAATTTTAAAACTTGTCTACTCCATATGCAGACCATAGACGAGGTGTATTTGGATCATTTGAATGCCTCCAAGAGCGGTCGGCCCCATTGTACCTTCATTGTGAAGACCAAGAAGCGTAGCTATAATCTGCAGGCTGCCTCGGATGCAGCGGCACGCATTTGGATTGATGCCATCATAACCGGCGCCCAAGGAAATTTGGACTATTAAAAAACACCTTTGGCGCCCAACACAACACACACACACACACACATTGAAATGGTTTTAGCTCAACTTAAAATGTAAACTTTTGTAGATATGTAAGAAGGGAGCTCATATATAGTCGTTAGCTAGGTTACATAAATCCTGTATGTATCCAAAACAAAACATGAGAAACAAACAAGGGTATAAAAATACCAAGAAACTAAGCAACCAATTTTGGCAACTAACGAAATCCGAGATTTCAGTACTGGACCAAAGTGAAGAATGTATTTTTTATGCTTTTAATTTTGTCATAATTTAGAAAAATAAGCATTATTTTTATATACATACAAACGCATATATCATACAGATATATATATATATATATATACACATACACAGACACATATATATTTGACAGACAAGCCCAACGCAAATAACGCAACCATTTCATGAACTACAATTTTATTTTTATAACTATTAACCAAATGAACCTATGACTATATGTAACTATATTGAAGTTTTGATGTGAAATTTAAATTTATGATACAATATATATTTGTATTTGTATATTTTGATAAAAGTGCGGGTTGACAGTTGAACGTTAAACTGGTCGGACTCTTTCCCCCCCACACTCTGTATTACCGTAAAAACAAACCTAATTCAACAATTTGTGCTCAGGCAACTGAATAAAATGATAATCAAAAACTATTAACATAATTAAATACAAATGAAAAAATAATAACAATTAAGCAAACTGTAAGTCGCTACGGCAAATAGCAAATAAAGAATTGTTTTTAAATCGATGATAATGATTTTATGAGACAGATCAATATAAAGATATTATTAATATCAAGCCACAAATATGACTTAATTAGAAAAAAAAGCATCTTGTCAACATAACTAGCATTTTAGGACATGCTGGTCATTAGCGACATCACAAAATCTTTATTTAAAAAGTATCAGGGCGATTTGAATGTCCTTTGGCCGGCGGAAAGCTGGTTGTTTGACACAGCACTCGCCGGAATTCGCAAGGATAAGGTCGGCTTTTGACATATTTTCTGCTACAGAAATGTCTTTTGTCTTGACCAAAAGAATTATCGTCCTTTTTACTACTGTTATCCGAAGGACATCAAAATAGTCCTTGCCAAACTATAGCCGAATATTTTATGAAATTATAAGTAAGGAGAATGACCATAACTCAGCCATATCCTTGCAGATTTTCAAAGGATTTGGTGCGTTAGGATCGCAAGGACCAACTGCATCGATCTGCATTTAAACAATATGGGGTCATCTAAGAATCCAGGACTTTGTAAATTTTGTGTCGCCAGCCGCAAGGGAAATTAGGCCAAAAACACAAAATCCTTAATATCTTTGGAACTGCAAGGACGATTTGGATGTCCTTTGGCCAGTTGGTAGCCCCTGTCCATAAGAAGTTTTTGACACATGACTCGAAAGGATCCGCAAGGATACGGCCGAGTTACAGGCAATTTTCTATGTGCAAAATTCACACTATTTCTCAGCTGTTTAAAGGACTTTCGTCCTTTTTGTTGTATATTCTGAATTAGGGTCGCAAGGACATTCTGTTGGCCAAAGGACATCCCGATAGTCCTTAAAATGGCCGAGTTAGCCCGGATTTTGTGGACTTTTGGCAATTTTTGCGACTAACCCCCTAGGAAAATTTTCGGAGAAATTTTTGGTCGAATCCTGGAAATGCTTGAATGCCAATCAATAGTCCTGCTTCCTGCGAGTTCAAAGAGGTGTTCTTTTCCAAGATCCGCAAGGATGCGGCCGAGATATGGCTAAAAAACGAATGTCCTTTTAAGAAAAATGACCATAACTCGGCCATATCCTTGCAGATTTTCAAAGGACTCGGTGCGTTAGCAGCGCAAGGACCAACTGCATCGATCTGCATTTAAAAAATATGGGGTCCTCTAAGAATCCAGGACACAAAATCCTTAATATCTCTGAAATTCCAAGGACGATTTAAATGTCCTTTGGCCAGTTGGTAGCCCTTGTCCATAAGACATTTTTGAAACCGTACGCAAGGATCCACAATGTCCTTTTCAGAAAAATGGCAATAATAATTCAGATTTTCAAAGGACTTGGTGCGTTAGATGAAATTTTTGGTCGAATCCTGGAAATGCTTGAATGCCAATCAATAGTCCTGCTTCCCGCGAGTTCAAAGATGTGTTTTTTTTCCAAGATCCGCAAGGATACGGCCGAGATATGGCAATAAAACGGGCATATCCTTGCTGATTTTCAAGGGAATGGGTCAGGTAGAATCGTTAGGATCATTAACATCGATTGACATTAAACGATATGTGGGTTGTCAGAGGACAACGTCTAAGAAATTGAAAAGCAATATTCTCTAACCAACTAACTCGCATGGACTTAATAAGTTAACATGGTTACATAGCTATTTTATAAACTAACAAAGATATATGGTTTAAGTTTATTTCTAGATAGACATACATTAAAAAAATATACTCAATATGTATGCATATTCAATATGCCTGTAACGAACTGGTGATAAATACTGGTATTTCCGAAAATTCTGTTTAGATAATATGAGGTAAACTATATACTAACCTAACTTCTAGTTAATAACAAATATTTATAAAATGCTGCACAGATACTTCCAAATACTTTGTTTCTAAAACAGTATAAGTATGGTATAGATATATTATCAATTTCGCAATTTATGTCAAATTAGTTTGGTATTCAAATAATCTGTGCAGCATTCAATTCAACAATTACTTTTGGCATGTTTAGAAACTTTCAATACGTTGGCGCTTAGGATGTCTGCTATCGACGTCCACATTGTCCTCATAGCGATCCAAATATTGATATAGCCAGCGCGCAAACTCGTTCATGTAGGGATCAATTCGGGAGATAACATTGAAACTGGCAACAGCTGGCGGCGGATAACTGCCAGCACCAAAGATGCTACGCACAAAATGCTCACAATGGAATATGGCAACGGTTACATCCGCTTCGAGTACATCCAGGCGCATAGCCAGCTTAGCAATCGATTCCGCAAACTGTTTAAGCACAATATAAGTTTTGCTGCTAAATGCGGCTGCAAGCGAAACAGAGACAGATATAGATATAGAGAGAATGCCATGAATTGAAATGAAATGAAAGATTGGCTTACTGGGCTGCTCGATGCGCGAGACAACATAGTATTTTTGGAGCAGTTGTTGGGCCTCCTCGGTAAAGGCCACCTGGCGATGTTGGAGCAACTCAAGCATTGTTCGTGTATCGTCTAAGGGAATATTAAATGCATCCTGCGTTGTGTCCTGCTCATCTCTACGGTACTGGCGCAGCACAAAGTCCCACATAGTTTCATTCACGTGCTGATCCATGTACACGGGCAGGCCAAAGATGCTTGAATATAAATATATAAATAGTAAGTATATAAGTAACTATTTGGGAGAAAGCAACTCACGGACAAAGCTTGGCAAAGGCAGTTGTCTGATTGGCCGCATTCTCCGGCTGCCAGTATGTCCAAATGGCAGTTTCAAGCGGCTGCGCACTCTGCAGCTGTGGCACCGGCACGCTGCCATTCTCAATGCATTTCTCTAGCTCCTCAGTTTGATCGCGCGACAGGCGATTCCAGTCGCCGGCAAAGTAGACGCCCTGCTGAGCCAGCAGCAATGGGCTGGCTACCACCCAATTGTAACGCGATGGCAGCGCTGTTTGCGTCGGTTGCTGACCACCCTCGTGGGGACCAATGAAACGGGATGCCAATTGCCCGACGTTGTGCAGCAGCCGATTAGCCACACAGCTGTCGGCGCATATGACGCACAACGAAATGGGTGCACGCAGATCGTCCAGCTCAATGCTGACCAGGCTGCTCAACAGCGCCATCTTAAGATACACATAGCACTCCATGGGCACACATTCTTGGCTCAGCTGCGCACTCAGTGCATAGACAAAGGCATAGTCCGAGTATTTGGAGCATATCAGACGATACAACTTCTTGATGCTCGGTGGCATAAAATTCAAATCGACATCGAAATTGCGGCGTTGTGGACTGTCACGGCCTACAAAGATTATGTGACGTGGGAAATCTTTGTTCCTGCGATGCGGCATGTTGGGGTTCTCTTGATCCACATCAGATACCTCGCTCAAGTTTTCTAACTCTTCCACGTCGAGGAACAGCAGCGCTTCAGTTTCCTGCGTTGGCGGATCCATATTCAGTAAGGGCGGACTTCGCAAAAAGTCAACCGTCGCGTCTGTTTGGGTTGGGCTGTCAGAGGGGCCGAATATTGTTGACAGGCTGCTGTTGCCTGTGCCGATACCCGTGCTGGGGAGGCTGGCGAGCCGAAAAACCGACTGGCTGGCATTGTTGTTATTGTTCTGCAGCGGCAGCTGCCTGGCGGCTGTGGCAGCCGCTGCAGTCCTTGCCGCGACCGCAGCCGTTGGTGCTCCACTCGAATCCGTATAGCTGGGTGATATATTAAATGTGGCTTGCGATCCCTGGCCATTGTCAGTTGATTGCGAATGCGGCAGCCCATCAGAGGGCAACGACACCAGCTCAAAGAGCGCATGGGGCTTGAGTGTGCGGTGGAATCGCTGACGACGGCGACGTTCCTGCGGGGCATGTGGAGGAATGTGTAATATAATCATTTTATCGCTCATATCCCACTTACGCTTATCATATTTCTAGGCTCTCTTGCAAGCGCTGACCCCTGCATGGGACGAAACTCGTTGGCATTCCAATTCAGCGTGCTATGTGCCGCGATGTTGTCCAGCTGCAATTGGGATTGCGTTAGCGGCGCATTGGCAGCCAGGGCCTGCTGCAGCTCCAGCACAAAGGAAGCATCATCATCATCACGACCGCCGTGCACTGAGCTGGGCGGCTGCATCATCAGCTCGTCGGGAAGTTGCGACGGCAAGCCCGGATGCTCTCTGCGTGCATTTATATGCGGCGCTTGCTCGCGTTGCACGCGTCGATCATTGCGTCGCCAATGATGTTGCGGTGCCTGTGTGCCGTCAGTTTCATGGACAACACGCTCATTGACTGGTGCGGCAGTCCTTGCAGCTTCGCCAGATACGGAGCGAATTTGGGGTGCGGTGCGCATGGCGCCATCCACCGGCAGGGACATGGTCATGTTCGGGCATGTGACCGGGCAATGCGGCACGCTTTGGGCAAACGGAATCTGTTGTGCGTGTCCGCTTGGTTGGTTGCCGCTGATCGCAGGCGGCGGCATCATCTTGCTGCCAGCAGCACATGGTGGAGCCTGCTGTTGATGCATTCCTTGGGACTGTTGCTGTTGCGGAGCAGCAGCAGCAGGTGCGCTGACACTAGTCTCATATTGCGACGCACCGAACTGGGACAATTGTGTTGATAATTGCTGCGATTGGGCAATCGGCTGCTGCTGCACAGTTTTGAGCCATTTATTCACCACTTGTTGCTTTTCAAGGGAATTGCTGGATGTTGACTGACGCACGTAATGGCCAATACGCTGACCAACTGGCTGAGCTGCTGGCGGAGCAACAGCAGCTCGAGCGGCCTTTGGCTTCTTGCGTACGGCGCCGACAGCGGGAAAATCCTCATCGGTCGGAGTAAAGGAAACGATATTGTTGTTTACATTCTGTGTGCTGGGCAACCTGCCCCAGACGCGTTCTCCACTAACAGATGCTGCGGCTGAAGCTGTGGTAGTGTTAGTAGAACTTATTACGGGGCTGACGTTTGTCCTGCAAGTAATAGAAAGCATGAATACACCAATATCATTTTCAAACAGTCTGCACGAATTGTATGCTTACGCCGCAGACTGGCTGCTTATGGATTGTGCTGGTTTCGGCTGATCCCCATCGGCGCGCAAGAAATCAATGAGCTGCACAGGCTGTCGGCGATTGCGTGAGGCCTTTAAGCTTTTCTTAGATGGCATGCTTCAAACTGATAGCTGCTAGCTGTGCCGCAATAATAGCCAGTTATCACGTAATTGGCGCCCAGCTTCAAATCACCGTCGTATGTATGGGCTGGCAGATACAAAGAGAGGCTGCATTACTCTGTTCTCTAGATGTCTTCTTATTGCAATTACCACGCAAACGCACCAGAATTGGCCGATAAATGCAGTCCACTGATCTCGGGTTCTGCGCACACTCGGCCGGCAATACGGCGATCAAACGATAATTCTCTGTTACACGCAGCTTTTGGTATTCACTCATGGGACGCGAGCAGTTGGGACACAATGGCGCTGGACAATCAGGCAGTGAATTATGAAAATATATATATATATAATTTACGGATTTACGGAATAAAGCTTGAGATGAATTCAAATGTGAAGCGGTCGGAAACTGAATTGAGCAGCAAACGTTTCGGACGGCTTACATTTAATGAAACGACCACTTGGATGGGGTCTAGGACACTGGGCGTGTACTAGTATGTGTATCTGTATTAGTGGGCTACGCATGTCTACTCTCTGAAGCTTTCAGATCGCCAGCGCGTCCCTGTGTGGTATTAATGAAATGCATTCAAATAGACATACCATCCGTGGAGCTGGTTTGAATCGCATTCCGCAGGCAACCGCCTGCACAGTACCAAATCGATTGCAGTCTGGACGGTGTGTGCGAAAGATACATACAAAAGAAAACAAACAAATTTCAACAATTAACATTCATTGCAGATACATATATGAGACAGATATCAAATATTTAACCAACTATTGCTGCCCGTCCCATGGGAACGGTATGAAATTGTGGTCCGATTCGGCCTACGTTTGCAGCAACCCGAAACCTACTTCCATTCAAGCTCTCTCATTCAAGGGTTAACCTTGAAACTCGTAGCAGATTACTGGATCTGTCTGCGGCAGCTCTCGGCACCCACAATAGACTTCTTCCTTCTTCCTATTTCCAAAGCGAATCTGAAAGTCTCAGGCATTCTAGTAAGTAGCTGTAACAAGCTTAGGTGCTTATTGATCTCTTGCTAACCTATGTATGAAACTAGATGTTTGATAAGAAACCACTTGAGACTGAGTTTAGGCTCTGCTCGAAGACAGACGAAACAATTACGCACATTCTGTGTGAATGTTCAGCCATTACTTGAGTTAGATGAAGGCTTCTAGGCAAAGGGTTTGTTTGCCAAGCTCAGATCATGGAGAACAAGGTTTGCCACACGTAATAGATCGACCCGATCATAGTTTCCCATCTCTCTCTATCTCACGCTCTCCCTCTTCTTGCATACTCACACTAATGTCTCCGGCGGCGTATAAGCGGACAAGAAGCCATTCACCAGCGCCAGGCCCAAACGGTACAGATACTGCGTTGGATTGTACAGTAGATTCTGCTGTAGCGGCAGATCCACAAGACGCCAATGCGTATGCAGCTGGGCGATATCAATCGCTTTGATTCCGTTGTCGTTGGCGTTTGCTTTTAGCAAATCGCGCACCTGCCCGTAGACGGAGTACTTGACCGCCTCGGCGAACTGCAGAGGCTCCTCGACGACCAGGTGCAGCAATTGCGGTGCGTGCTCCACCAGCTCAACGTAGTTAAAGTCCAGGCGCAGACGCAGGGGCGCCAGCGCCTCCTCCGGTTTGCGCGTGCGCCTGTAGTTGCGCAGAAAGTTCTCGACGGTCCCTTCAATCAATTTCACTAGTTGCGTCGCCCGGCAAAATTTCTCAATTAACTTTTGTTCGTGGAATCTGCGTACAGTACGTATTTTGTATTTTGTATTCGCGTTTACTTCTTATCCATGCTGTAATTTTGCAATACTTACTGGCTGTGGCGCTCAAGCGAATGTTCCTCGAATGCAGTGCTAGTACTCGAATTTGTGCTAAGTCCTTGCGTTTGTATAACTGTATTCACATTAAACATTTTACCCAAGCAAGTGCCTGAGGCAAGTCATATAGGTATATTTGCTGAACGAAACGCAAAAATTCAAATTGGACTTATTTCTGCAAAATGACAGAAAAATGTGGCAGCATTGGCACGCAGTTCAGCGCTGCCACTTCACAGGGTTGTACAGAACGATTTTAAATCTGATCGCAATCGTTATCGAAATCTATGCAAATTCGATTTCGCCAATTGTTTACCAAAGCACAATTTTGAAGATCGGCGAACGTAAAAAACGGCTTCGTTTCAGCTCGTGACGTATGTGTTCGTACGTACAAAATTATAAAATTTATTTCTAGTAATAAACTCTATAGCTATTAAAAAAAAAGCATTGTGTCCTATATTATTTTTTACACATTTTATTTGCTGAACAATTCATGTGTATTTTTAGCTCCTGGCCACATCCTATTCTCACCTGTTCATTCAATGCCCGCTTAAAATTGATCAAAACGCTGCCGTTTACATACAAATTTACACCACACGTAAAGTATCAAATTTTAATCGAACATTAAACAAACGGTATTTGTTATTTGCATATGTGTGTGGTTGCTGCTTCTTAACGGTTAGACTTGGCAACACGCTCCAATTCGTCTTTCTTCTTGATGGCGTACGAGTTGGATGAACCCTGCAAACGAAGCAACAGATAAAACAGATGTGAGTTTATTCATTGTTGAAAACATAATTTGTTCATGCTTAGACTTATTAATTGTTCTTCTACGTTTCTCGTGTGCATTGAGCTGAGTGTTGCCACAAGCACAAGGATAATAAAAGACATACATTGCTCGTGTCCAAAAGCGAGTCTGCAACAATATCCAAGTGACATGATGCAGAATTAGACTGGACCTACTAGATAACATATAAATATAAATATGCTTATTGATTGTTCTTCTACGTTTCTCGTGTGCATTGAGCTGAGTGTTGCCACAAGCACAAGGATAATAAAAGACAAACATTGCTCTTGTCCAAAAGCGAGTCTGCAACAATATCCAAGTGACATGATGCAGAATTAGACTGGACCTACTAGATAACATATAAATATAAATATGCTTATTGATTGTTCTTCTACGTTTCTCGTGTGCATTGAGCTGAGTGTTGCCACAAGCACAAGGATAATAAAAGACATACATTGCTCTTGTCCAAAAGCGAGTCTGCAACAATATCCAAGTGACATGATGCAGAATTAGACTGGACATACTAGATAATATATATATAAATATGCTAATGTTAGAAAAAATCAAATGTAACGAATGCCACTCCTAATCTCGTCTGCAAGCGAGGCGTCGCATTTTGGCCACACGTTGCGTGGCATTAGAGTAGAGATACGCATACACTACAGTGGGTCTCTACGTTTGATGACTTACCTTGGCGGCATTGATGAGCTCATCGGCCAAACACTCGGCAATGGTCTTGATGTTCCTGAAAGCAGCCTCGCGGGCACCGGTGCACAGCAGCCAGATGGCCTGCAAGTAAAAAGTTATTAAACAATTAAATAATCGCAATTCGAAAGAGTATTTTAGAGCATGTGATGTCTCTTCAGTTCATACGCCAAATGTCGGCTAATTACACATTGTGACGCTACGGATAGATAGATGTTTATTATAGCCAAGCGTTATAAGAACGCAGTCGCGGTTCGAACTGCGTGCCATCGTTGCTGGCCAAATGGAGATTACGACTACGAACAGCTATAAAAGACCAACCTGGTTGACACGACGCAAGGGTGACACATCCACAGCCTGACGACGCACGGTACCGGCGCGACCAATACGCGTGGAGTCCTCACGTGGTCCCGAGTTGATGATGGCGCTCACCAAGATCTGCAAGACAAACGATACGAATATATTCAATAAGTTGCACAATTTAAAATGAAATCTGTTGCAATACCAATTTAACCAAGATGTAGTTTTAAGTTCCAAGAGAGCAAAAAGAGAGTAATATCTTTAGGCACTAGGATATTAAAACCTCATATTTATTATAAGTCCATTTCAAATATATGCTCAAATCAGCATATAAGCTGCTTGGCATTGAGTTGGACTACAATTGGGATACAAATGATTTTCTTCTTACAAATAATTGAGCTTCTGCTGTTGATTTTGACTTTATTAAGGTTTGCATCTTCGAGCCAATGCCCTTAAGAGGAATAGTTAATCATGGGCTTTTATGTAGTCCAATTGAATACCACGCCAGCGTGTAAATCACTGATGCGGTTTTAGTTTTGGACATAAATCGAGTGTTCAAAAAGAGCATAGCGTAATGTGGTTTTAAGTTCCAAGAGAGCGGGAAGAGAATGAGATCTTCAGGCACTAGGATATTAAAACCCTATATTTATTATGAGTCCAATTGAAATGTATGCTTAGCTCAGCATGGAAAACAAGCTGGCTGGCATTGAGGTGGACTAAGATTGGTACACAAATATTGCTCTGCAAAGATGCTGTTGATTTTTGACTTTATTAAGGTTTGCATCTACGAGCCAATGCCCTTAAGAGGATAAGTTAACCATGGATTTCGATGTAGTCCAGTTGAATACCACGCCAGCGTGCGAAGCACTGATGTGGTTTTAGTTTTGGACATAAATCGAGTGTTCAAAAAGAGCATACCGTAATGTGGTTTTAAGTTCCAAGAGAGCGGGAAGAGAATGAGATCTTCAGGCACTAGGATATTAAAACCTCAATTAGTTTGAGTCCAATAAAAATAAGCTGCTCAGCACAGTATTAAATATTTGCTGTTTGGCATTGAGGTGGACTAGATGTAGCTGTTTGGTTAAGCTACGCGTGTCCGGGCTATTCGATTTTATGGTTGTCGTTTTAAGTTCCAAGAGAGCAAGAAGAGAACGAAATCTTCAGGCACTAGGATATTAAAACAATATTTTTATAAGTCCGTTTTAATGAATGCTCAGCACAGCACAAGAAATAAGCTGCCTGGCATTGAGGTGGACTACAGTTGTGGCTTTGATTTGCCTGAGAACGGGCCACTAGAATATAAAAACTAACTAAATAACTGGAGTTGAATTGCGGTTGTAGTTTCAAGTTCCAAGAGAGTAGGAAGAGTAGTGCTTCGAACACTAGGATATTGAAACAGAAGTTTTCTCTGCGTGCACATTCTACCTGTTGTCCGTGTGGCTTGTTTTTAGCACGGGCACAGTTTAGCATGGCACGGTGACAAAGACAACGACATGTCGAGTACTTGGTGCTTACCTGCAGTGGGTTCTCGCCAGTTAGCAAGTGGATGATCTCAAAAGAGTGCTTGACAATGCGGCAGGCCATCAGCTTCTTGCCGTTGTTGCGGCCCTTCATCATCAGGGAGCAGGTCAGACGCTCCACGATGGGGCACTGGGCCTTGCGGAAACGCTTGGCGGCATAGCGACCAGCCGAATGGGGCAGGTAGCGTGCGAACTTCTCTTTCACGGAGATGTAATCCTGCAGCGAGATATCGTTGACAGTAACATCATCGCAAGACCAGCGACCGAACAGTTTGATCTCTGGCAGCTCGGTGGTGGCGACCACATTTGTGTCGAGCACAGCTTCGGCAACCTCCGTTTCCAATGGCGCCGGCTCCTCGAAGTTCTCGACAATGTTTTCAGCTACTTCGGCCATGCTGCAATGTAAGCAAAGGCAATTTATTTTAACCGCCAATTTAGGTATTTATTGTTACTTATGTGTATTTGTTGTTGATTTTTGACTTTATTAAGGTTAATATCTTCAAGCCGATACCCTTAAGAGGAATAGTAAATCATGGCGTATAATATAGTCCATTTGAATACCACAACAACGTTTCGTTCACTGCTGCGGTTTTAGTTATGGACGTAAAAAAAAATTAGAAAAATTTCGTGCATTTAAATGTTAACACGTGTGGACTGAGCAGAAAGGGCTCATAACACATACACAGGCACGCACACAAACAAAAAAAAAAAAAACGGGCACCGTATATAACCTCATTGTGCGTGGCTTAATGAAACCAGCAAGTTTTGGACATTTGCACAATGCATTTCACGAAGCTTTCGATAGCAGCAGACAGCCGCTTCGCTTAAAAATCATTTGCTTATGCTTTTATGTTAAAACACTTTCAATTTAACAAAATAATCTTACATTTTTCACGGAAGAAATCGGTACACGATGTATGCGCAAAGGCGTACGCCTGAAAAAGAACATGTTGCGGCAGTGTGCGTCAATGCCACAAAAATTGGTTTCCGGCCAAATCACAGGGTTGTATTTTACTTACAGGGCTGCAATGAACTTCCAAAATACGAGACAATCGAATATGAAATTTCTTAAAAAATATGCAGCGGTAGGTGAATTATTGTTATTATTCGAACTAAAAACAAGATTTGGTTTTATGATGCAATTTTTTTTTATAGCACTATTGTTGATCGAATACCTTAACTGTTGTTGACTTTATAACATAACTGATTTCGATATATACTATCTGCCCGGCTTTCTTACAAATGCAGTTGAATAGGTATAATAAAAATACCGCCTACTGGGCTGTGTTCAATGGATTGCCAATAATGTTAATAGTAATTAATATAAATAATAAATCAAAAGAGCTATCCTAAATTCGTTTGAATGTCAGTGTTATGCCTATCCATGCATCAGTAATTTATTGCAATATTAACTGCAAACTAAAAAACCAAAAACAGACTTTTGTTATCGATAAATGGATAGACTAATGCACAGCTCTAAGAATAATAGCAAGAACAACAATATGATTGTTGTTTAAAATCGCCGGAAAACGTACGTTCCTTAATTTTCCACTGGTATCTAAAATTCATCCATTTAACAGCATTTAATGTAAAGATGACAACCGACGAGAGTATAATGACAGAAATGCTGGGTGAGTTTCACTACGTGAGATTTCAGCTGTTTCGGATTTTTCATTAGTTGTAAATACCCCTTTTGCACCACTTACGCAGATCGTGCAACGAATCCAACAAAGGAACGAGTCGACGAACTAGGCGTCCAAATGTTTTGCATTGTGGTACGCAGCAACAGCCAATTGGTGCACAAGGCGCAGGAGATGATTGTTACCAAAGTTCGTTCGACCAATGTGAACGAAGCGATACGAGCAATTGCGGTATGTGTGACACACAACACACACACACGCACACACACGCACACACACACACACGTGCAAAGACATTTTAGGCATTTAATTATTGTTTGTCATAACTGTTGTTGCAGTTGCTGGAGGAATGCATGACGCAATGCGGCGACGTCTTCCAGGATGAGGCAGCCAAGTTCCGTTTTCTCAACGAGCTGATACGATTGGTGTCAAAGAAATATGATGGTGCCATAACTCCGCTTATGGTGAAGCAGCGCATAATGGAATGCCTGCTGCTGTGGACCACCGAATTTCCGCAGCGCCAAAAGATACGGGATGCCTACGAGATGCTGCGCAAAGAGGGCGACATCGATCACAGCCAAACAGCCGCTGCGCTGGCGAAGCGGGAGAGCGTGCTCAATACCATGGACGAGGCCATGTTCGCCAAACTAATTAAAAGTCAGGACCCGGAGAACTTTAAGCGCGCCAATCTATTGCTCCAATATCGCATGGCCCAGGAGGCGCGACGCAATGATTTGCTTGCCCAGCATCGCCTCGTACTGCTGGAGGTACAGGAGACCATGCAGCTGCTCAACCAAATGCTGGACAGCTATAATCCCAGCGATGATGATGTCAATGAGACCATACACGAGCTCTACAAGAGCTGCAAGAAGCATAAGCCCATTTTTCAGCATCTGCCCGAGCTGTTGGGCGACTCCGATGCTCAGCTAATTGGTTAGTTCCACTCCCCATCAAGATGTTATATATTTATAAGTTACCCATGTTCTTCGCAGAAAAGACGCTGGATACAAATGGCGCTCTGGTGGCAGTTATGGCGCGCTATAAGCAACTTGTGCCCTCGCCTAAAAAAGGCACTACACCAGCTATCCAATCCATGGCCGCAGCTGCAGCAACGTCACCATCAAAGTCAGCTGTTGCCAGCGGCTCCAACAATGCGGCACTGCTCAATGATCTGCTCGGGGATTTGCTGCTTGGCGATGGCGAAGCCCGGGCCACGCCAACCAATGCATCCAATAGCTCAAAGCCCAATACTTTGACGGATCTAAGCGACATCTTTAGCAGCGCTCTGACTGAGAGCAAAGACAAGCAACAGCAAAACGCGGCGCCTTATCAGCATGCCGGCAGCGGTGAGCTGCTGGAGCCACAGGTGCTCAGCCTATTGGAAAACGAAAGCAACGGCGCTGCCGGTGATGGCCTGGCCAATGGCAGTGCCGCTGATGATAATATCAAGAAGCCCAGCGTTGCACGCAAAATGCCCGAAATTGATATGCTAAGTGAGGAACTGTTCCAGCAGATACTGCCAGCACAGGAGCGTATGGGCAGCTTTAAGCGCGATCCCGAGAAATTGACGCTCAACGATTTGGCTCGCGAACGCATGCAAGTGAAGCCCGCAAAGCAATCAGCTGCAGACTCATTTGATGATGTGCCGTTGTTGAGCGCTACGCCAGGACAATCGGTGCCGGTGCCTGTGCCGGTGCAGGTGCAGATAACGCAGCCTGCGAAGGAGGAGGAGAAGATTGTGGTGGCACCTCCAGCTGCCACAAAAGAAATCAAGCATCTTAGCGAGATCAGCATCGATCTGGATAGTATTCAGGCCACCGGCGAAGAGCGTGTTATGCTGGACGATGACGATATGCTTCTATGCCTAAACTTTACAGATGAGCGGCCCAGTCGCAATGTGTCAGTTATTGTGATATCGGCCCAAAATAAAAGCCGCCAGCCAGTCAAAGACTTCCAGTTCGAGGCAAGCGTTAAAAAGGTGGGTTGTTCATCCATCGCTTTGGCAGCTTAACGAATCCATGTCTCATTCCATTCTCTGCTCGCAGCCCTGCAAGGTGCGCCTTTTGCCACCCACGAGCAACGCAATGCCGGCGCACAAGCCGTTCCGGCCAGCACCGCCTATTAATCAAGTGATGCTGCTGCTGAATCCTACAGGCAAGCCGGTGGATGTTACATGCATTGTGGGCTACAGGCTGGGCGATGATCCAGATCCCATCAAAGAGTCAATTGTAGCGAAGGGCATTGACTATGTGGACTAAAATCGTCGCGAATGTCAATTGAATTTGATTTTTATTCTTTGTATCATCTTGTTTTCTTTTGTGAAACAAAAGACGGGCCAGTCACTATTAATTTCTTTGTAGCACTGGATTATTGAGCTCCTTCCAAATTATTATTATTATTATTGTGTATTTGTGTGTACTTATATTGAATGTATGCCTATAAGGATTTTTATTAAATTGCATTCCCTTATACATATATATTTCTAAATATATATATGCATATATATATATATATATATTAGCAGTATATTTTATAAAAAATGTATGAAAAATGTCGCTACAAAAGCAAAAGCGCATTTTCAGAGGTAGAACTCAACTCAGTTCAGTATTTCTCCCAAATCCATGTTGCCTGGGACCCGACTGCCTCCAAAAAATTGCCAAGCGTGTGCTTCAGTATCCCAACTGTTATATTTTCATAATCCACACGAGCTGATAGAAATTCTTATCGTATTTCGGTCGAGTTATTGACAAGGGCATTTGGAATTTGGTTAGCCTGAAGCTTATTAAGATGGGATCTGCTTCAGGCCTATCAGCCAGAGTGGATAATGCAAATGACTTTTCTTTTTTTCGTTACCTATTTGTCTAAGTTTACAGCTAGAGCTAAGGCTATGCTTACGTTAGTCGGCTACAATCTCGTCCTTGAAGGACAGAGCCGTAATTGCCTTTGTATGGCCCGTGTAGTCGCGCACGCAGTTTTTGGTGTGCAACTTCCAAAGGCGTGCAATGCCATCGGATGAGGCTGTGAACAGCCATTTGGAATCGGCGCTGAATGCAGCATCCCAGACCCAGTAATTTTTAATAGAGAGCTCACGCCACTTGGTAAAGTCCTCCGTTTTCCAAATGCAGGCAGTGCCATCGCCCGAGGTGGTTACCAGTAGACGCGAGTCGGGACTAAACTTGCAACGTAGTATGGAACGACTATGGGCCTGGATTTTCTTTTTGGGACTCATTGTGCTCAGATGCTGGCTGGGACTGCTGCTCAATTGCCAAATGTAGCAATTGCCCTTGTTGTTGGCCGCAGCCATGTAGTGACCATCTGGAGAAATGGCCACATCTTGTATGGATGCATCCACCTCGGGCACAAGCTGCTCGTGCACTTCCGACTTAACGTCCCAGAGATAAACGCCGCCATTTTGCGAGCCCATCGCAATTTCCACTTGATTCGGATGCAGGCAGGCAGCATTCACCGGCGCCTGACAATCGAATACACGTGAACAGTGTGGCGGAGCTGACATCATGTCCCAGATGCGCACACGATGATCCTCGCCGGCTGTGAACATCCAATTGCCATCCTCCTGAAAACCCAGCCGTGTCACATTCTTTTGTACACCATCAAAGTTAATGACCGGCGCCGTGCAATTGGACTCCAAATCATACAGTCGTATGCACTGATATCCGCATGCGGCTAATCGAGTTTTGTCCGGCGTGCGGTCCAACGCATTAACTTGCTATTTACAATATAAATCAATTACACACAAATAATGCATTCACTCAGTCTCAGCTTCACTTACCGATGTCTCAACAAAGCGCATGGTTTTGATGCAGTTGCCGGTGTGCGCCTGCCACACTTTGATGGTGTGGTCATATCCACCAGTGGCCAGTATTAGCTGGTCTTCCGTCGTTTCCATTGCAGCACTCTTTAGTTGTTATTGGTTGTTTAATTTGATCATTGCTACTGCCGTGCTTAAAAGTTTATTAAAGAATTTGGATATTCTTACTAGAACTGCAGACTATCGATGGAACTTATCGAAGATAACAGTTGAAATTATTACAGAACTACTCCTCACTTGAGTAATGACTCCTCAATGTTGCTAGCTTTTAATAATATTTCGTTGGGTGCGGAAATGCTGTTAGTATTTCGTTAAGTACTCTCGTTAAATTATGGAGAGGCGCAAAAATTTGTGTCAGTGATAAAAACTAAAACTAAACTAAAAACAAAAAAAAAAATCTAAAAACTAACTCTATCATTTTAAAACTTTATTACAAGTCAAAAAAGTTTAATATATCAGTTAATGTCATTACTTGACGGCAGTTTACATATGTATGTACATAGATACATAAATAATTAAATACATCAAAACAATTTCCGTTGGGAAATGTTTTAAATTTAGAAAAAATACATTACCAGAAAATATTAAGCTATTGCTTAAACAGCCATTAAATTACATACATGTGTACATAAATGTATGTATGTACATGTGCACGTGCAATAAGCCCTGCCATATTAAGACTAAGATTTTTGAATATACAACATACATATGTATACATACACATGTATGTATGTATGTAAATCTGTATGCCATGTTCAGCATATTCGCAAAGAGCGGCAAATAATCGGACGATACAGCGATGCAAAGGCGATTCTGTCGAAAAAATGAACGGTTCTTCGAAACGAAAAAGCACGATACTAACTCAACATCGCGCAGCTGCAACCTAACGGCAGTTGTTGGAATCAAAACTTGTAAGCGGAGAAATTATGAACCAATGGCAGGCGAGAACAAACTCTGCTACCATCAGCTGTGGCAGCGCTGTCAGGCAGTCGGGTAGCAAAGGCATATACATACATACATACATACATATGTATGTATTTTGCCGGTGGAATTCTACAGAGCGAGGAGGTAAAGACAAATCGCAAAGAACTTTCTGCTGCGCACAAGATCTTGAACCGATATGAGTAATCAAATGAGCCAAGAAGCGGAAAACGTGAATTCAGCGCAGCCGACATCCCCACCAGATTTTCGTAAAGATTTGTCGAAGCACACCGATCAAACGCCATCTGGCGTCGGGGGGCCATTGTTAGAGTCGCACCAGAAGACTTCCTCCTCCATGCCGGTAACTCCAACTGGGGTGACAGCCTCGACAGTCCACCCGGCCAATGGGGCCGCCAAAAGCGCAGCTCAAGATAAGTGGATCCTTGCTCCATCCGAATGGACACTCCACGTGCTGGACAGGCGACTTCCACGCGAGGTCCTGGAAACTATACAGGCCCACATTCCGTACAGCGGGCGGCGACACAGATTCATAACGGAGGCCGAAGGACGGCACTTCTCCATTACTATTAACTATTGGAAGCATGTTATCGCTAAGATTCATACGCCGAAATATATGAGAGAACTATAGAAAACAAGCGATAAGCGATTATATTAACTAAATACGTATATATATAATCGTTTTAACGATGGTTTTTTTTTAAACTGAAGATCGAAACAAGCACTTTTCAGTTGGGTGCAACTGGCTGTGAGATACCCAGTAATACCCAGTAATCCCAGTCACCGAGGATGTGATTGGTAACCCTTAAACAGCAACACTAACACAGTGGCTCTCAAACTGCGAGGGGAATATATGTACATATGTATTCTGTGGGGGGCGAAAAAAAAATGTAATTCATTTCACGAAGAAAAAAGTTAATTTAAATAATTACAGTTTAATGTTCGCAGAGTTTAAAATAAGTTTCTTGTTTTATAATAAATATACTAAAGCTAATCGGCCATTCGATTTCTCTAGGTTTCCTATGCTCGTATATATATGTATGTGTATATGTATGTGTATGCGTATGCGTATGTATATAAAATAAACTCTGAAATCGGCGATTTGACAATAATTATTAAAACTTTGCCTCAACTGCAGCGCAAACGTATAAACCTGACAATACATAATAATAACTACATATTATGAGTAAACAAAAAGTTGCACGAAAAAAAAAGGGTTAAAAAAAATAAAATATAAGCATAGTGTGGTTAAGAATCAGATTTGTTTAGGCTAGAATTCGCGACAAAATAATTGCTGGGCCTGGGCGCCAAATGCGTGGATACTTGTGGTAAATAAATAGTTGCCCCAAATTGCGTAAGAGTGAGAAAATACATATACAAAAGGTGTGTGGACATCCGCTCCAGATTCAGTTCGATGTCGCCTTACGTCTCGAAGTACTTGTAGATAGCAGTTACATAGGACATGACCTGCGTCCAGTCAGGTCGCTCAATTTGACACATGTCATTGATGTTCTGCGCGATGATAAATTAAAATTAAATTAAGATCGATTAATTAGAAAATTTATGGCTAACGACAGAACCGAGTGGACCCACCAGAGTGGTGCCAATGCCCACCGACTCCGCGGCGGCAAAGGCTAGCGAAAAGTTGCGCCGCTTGTTGGTCGGACTGAGTGTGTCGTATGGTATGCGATCCGGCAGATAGGAATGTAGTATGGCGCAGAATGCGAGCCCATCGTTCCACGATGAGCTGAAGTTCGTGATGTCGATGTTGCGATAGCCAACGGTTTTATTTTGGCACCACTTGAGCAGCGCATTTCGCTTAGAGCCACCGTTTTTGGCCAGCATATTGAGCGGATCCTTGCGCTCACCTGCAAGAGGTCATAAATATTACATTAATAATAAATTGAATAAACTATCCATGGATATGGGCCAGCTGCATGCCACTACCTACCGCTGATAGAGGATTTTGAGACGTTGCCAAAACTAAGGCTGCTCACGAGCGCGCTGGTGGGCGTCTGCACTGGCGTTGTCAGACTGGGCGGCTGCTGTTGCAAGCTGCTGGGTGTGTTTGGTGTGGAGGGTTGCGAAGATGATGTCGCACTTGTCATTGACTGTTGCGACAATTGCTGCTGCAGTTGCGGCGGCGGCGGCGGCTGCTGCTGCTGCTGCTGCTGCTGTTGCTGCTGTGTTGCTTTGGTAGTGTTAGCTGCTGTGGATGTTGCAGCTGCTGCTGTTGCTGCTGCTGCATTAACATTCACATGTAGATTGCTGCTCTGCAGCACGGGCAAGCGCAGCTGTACGGATGAAGAAAATAAAAAGTGTTATTTAATTGAGAGCACACGTTATGGCATTTACAAATACTTACACTGTCGTGCCAGTCGCTGGTTACGGGCAGTATAATGGGCGTGTTGCCAGTTTCGGGCGTGCCGCTATTCAAGCTGGACGTTGAGCTATAATGCGATTCGGTCTCATCCGACTTACCCTGCTGTAGTATGGAACGCAAGAGATTAGTTGGCGCAGTTTGTGAAAGACTTTGACTCACCTGTTTGTTGTTCTCGATGCTCTCGATCAGCGTTTTAACAGAGAGTCGAGAATCCTGACGACTAAAGCTGAGTTTACTGCGCCGTGAGGCCATCTCCTGCTGCACACTGGACAGCACCGATTGCTGCGTCTCCGTCTGCTGCATTTCTGTAAGGAAGTGCGAGAGTAGGTTAATCGCATTTCCCAGCAAAACAGTTATTTGATTTGGTTACTTACGCTGCTTGGTTAACTTCTCCAGCTGCTGTTCGAGTAGCCGGATCTTTTCCTTTTGCGTCTTGTTATCGAGCACCAGCTGCTCGCGTGCGCTGAGCGCCTCAGTCTTGAAATCGTTGGCAACACGCACTGTCATTAGAAGATCCGCCTGAAATTGTTGCCATTCGTCAGCGTCGCGTTTGCGCAGCTGTGTCTCCTTTTCTAGGCGGGATTCGCTATCGCTAAGCTGCAGCTGCACATCGCCCAAATGTCGCTGCGTTTCGCTCAGCAGCTCCTGGAGCTGTGCCTTGTCCTCCTGATGGCATTTGCACTGCACCTGCAGCTCGGCGACACGCTCCTCCAGTGTCTGGCAATCGCCGGCCAGTTTATCCTTTTCGCACTGCAGCTGCTCCAGCCGATACTCGAGATGTGAGACAGCGCACTTGGCATTATTTTTGGCTACCTTGCATTCCTCGCTGAGACCGGCCACTTGCTCGCGCAATCGACGCAACTCCGCCTGGCTGCGCGACCACTGATCCTGTAGCTCGGCCAGGCGCTCCTCAAGCGTATCTTTCTCCCGGCGTGCTGCATCGAGCACATCGCTAAGATCAGTCTTATCCCCACGCGCCAGATCCGCTTCCAGCTCTTCGATCTTGGAGCGCGCATTTTCCAACAACGTGCTCAGCCTGCTTATCTCAATTGCACGCTGTGAGATCTCCTCTTTAGCTAACGAGAGCTGCGCTTCGCTCTGCTTGCGTTCCGCATTGGCCGCATCCAGCTGTGAATCAAGGAGCGCGTTGCGCTCACGCTGTCGCTGCTGCTCCAGCTGCACGGCGTCGCGCGATTGTCGCAGCTCGGCCAGCTCCGCGTTCAGCTCCTCCTGCTTGAGCAGCAAAGTCTCGCGTTCCTCCTGCGACGTCTGTATTAGATCAAGGAGCTTCTTCTCTCGCTCCGAGGTGGACACCTCGGCCGCCTGCTTTGTGTCGCGCAAGAGGAGCTCCTGCAATGTGTTGATCTGTGTCCGCGACTCATTAAGCATTTCCGTCTGACGGCACAGCGACTGAAAGAGCACATCTTTCTCCTCGGCGAGACGTTCGTTCTCCGTTTGCGTATCGGTCAGCTGTGTCTGCAGATCGGCCAGCTCCTGCAGCGTCGCCTGTAGCTCCTCATTAGTGGAGTAGTGCGTCTCCTCCATCTGTATGATCTTATCCTGCAGGCACGCTACTGAAATCTCACTTGACGACGAGTGCTTGTCCCAGTCCGGCGTGAGGCATGGCGTACCATCATGCGCCGTTTCGTTTATCTACGGATTTCAGTTATTATGAGTTATTATGAGATGTGGGCTATATGATTAAAGGTATATAAATACTCACATTGGGCAGTGCTATGGAGGCGGGTGCTGAGCTATGCAAGCGCTGCGAGTCTTGTATGATCTGGTGCTTTTCTGCGTCCGACAATGGCGAGTTAACAACGTCCCGCAAACGATTGCGCAAAGATTCATTTTCATATTTCAAGTTGCCAATTTCCATTTGTGTTTTCTCTTGTTGATTCTGTAAGCAGAGAGCGAGTGGCAGGTGAGCGTATTGTATATTTTTATAATGCCGCAAAAAAAAATAATTATAATAATAATAATAATACTGAGTGCTAATTATATGTGTCAACAGTTTTCCGGCGAATGAAAACTGAATGAAATGCAGTAAAACCCTTCTATAATAGTCCATTCAACAAGTCGACGTTTGAACGAACCCAGAATAAATATATGCGGAGTCCTTAAGCAAACCAGTTGCTGTTTCTTCTGTTTGTTTCTGCAAATAACCAAGTTTTGCGTAAGACTCAGTTCCAAAGCTAACTCGGGTCCCCACCATTCGATTAATCTAACCAATTTTGAGTAGACAGCAAATTAAGACTAATACAAATAATGCCTGGGTTAATGCATGTGGAAAACAAACTTCAAGGCAGATTTTGTTTAGTTGCTTTTAAGATATTAAATCAACTGAAACTCTGAGTGCATACTTTTAGCATTGACTGTGCAACAATTTCTCAATTAAAGGAGCGCAGAGCATATAGGAACATATTGAATATCAATAAATTGGTTAAAGTAACGAAGCGCAACGACGTCAGTTTTAGATCAAAACGAACACTAATAACAATTACAATAGCAATGACAGCAGCAACAACAACAAAAACAACGACAACGAGAAAAGAAAAAACAAGGCAATAGTTAGACAACAGTTGACAGCCTTTGTGGTTAGTTGACGAACCGACACGCTGTCTGGGTGACTACAGTGAAAGCTCATATATGAGTACCTGTCCTGCTCAGCGAGATGAACAACTACAGTAATACAGAAAGATATGCATTCTATTATAATTTTCCAAATATCTAGAAATAACTATCAGACTGTCAGACTGGACGCTAAAATATCGAATTTCATTCTTTAGAGATCAAAATTGGCTGAGAAAAACACTCAAATTGTTTCAAGCTAATTGGCTTTAAGCGAGCCGTCCGTCTGTCGAGCGTTTACTGTAGTTTTTTCTTCTGCTTTTCTTTTTGCTGTTTTACCTGCATCTTGAGCAAATCACCCCTCAGTTTGGTCACCTCGCTTTGGTATGGCAGCAGCTCTGTGATGCGCATCTCCAGCTGCAGTTGCTCGCGTCCAAGTCGTTCCAGCTGTTTGTGCAGCTCCTGCATTTTATTGTTAGCCTGGAAGTGTTGTTAATATTCGATTAGTTCAATATGTTAAAATATGTTGCTGCTTAGCGTAACGTACCTCTAACAGTTGTTGTTGCTGTTGCTCGTTGTTGATGAGTTGTTGCTGCTGCTGCTGCTGCTGTTGTTGTTGTTGTTGATGATGCTGCTGCTGATAGCTGCTAGCGGCAACGGCTGCAACGGCAACAGCTGCTGCTGCGGCTGGAAAAGCGTTCGTTGCTGCGCTGCTGTTGCTGCTGCCGTTGCCTGCAGCATTTGTTGTTGTTGCTGCTGCTGCTAATTGCTGGTAGAAATCAGCAGCGGCTGCGGCAGCAACGCCGCCATCTTGCAATGCGGCCAATGCGCCGTTGCTGCTGTTGTTATTATTATTGCTGTGACCGCTGTTGCTGTTATTGGTTGTTGGTGTTGGGACAGCAGCAATGGACGTCATCAGTTGATGCTGCTGCTGCTGCTGCTGCTCAAGTTGTTGTTGCTGTTGTGGCTGCTGTGGCAATTGCTTTGGCTGCTTTTGTCCTTTAAACTTTGATTTCTTTTGCGGCAGCGTATTGCTCAGCTGCTGTTGCGGCTGGCGTCGCTGCTGCTGCAATTGCTGCTGTTGTTGTGTTGTCAGCAGCAGCGCAGCCTCGTCACCCACATCGACGCCGCGTTCGTATGTTGCGTCGTGATTTGAATAAAATGTTGTTGTTGTCGCTGCTGACGCAGAGTTATTTAGTGATTGTTGCTGCTGTTGCTGTTGTTGTTGTTGCTGCTGCTGCTGCTCATGCGCTGTGTTAAGGGATGTGCTGGACTGTGATTTCTGTCGATTGTTGTTGGAATGCTGCTGCTGTTGCTTGTGCGATGAGTTATTGGAGGAGGCAGAACTCGAGGTTCCTTGTCCTCTGCGGAATAATGATTTTAATTTAATCATTTTGTGGAATTGTTGGCTACGTTGTTGTGTTTGTGTTTCTTGTTGGTAGTTTGCAAAACGTTAATCATTAACTTTCAACTTTGATTGAATTTGTTATTGTTGTTGTTGTTTGTGTGTGTGTGTTTTTTTTTTTTTTTTTTTTTTTTAATTATTTATTTATCGTTGCTCTTCAAGATATATTGGCAACGTCGTCGGTTTTCGTTTAATCGTTCTTAAAATTAATCGTTATCGCTGTTTATGCTGTTATCACACATTTAAGTCAGTTTTAACACTCTGCTCATTTTATTTAGATATGTGGGTATGTTTCTATGCTGATGCCAGTTAATGTGCAAGAGAAGAAAGTACAATTTCTGCAGGCCATTTTCGCAGTTAATGCAATGCAAGTGAAGGCGATTGAGTGGCAAAACCAAACGATGAATGAAAGTTCAAAGCAGATGCTAATAAAACAGCGCGCAACTGTTGCATGCCAACTAAAAACAATAACTCGTTTGTGTTGTTGCTGCTGCCGTGGTTATTGTTGTTGACTCTGACAATCGCATGCATTGTTGTTATTGCTGAGCCTCGCTCTCAGCGTGTGTAAGTGGGGGAGACGCCAAGAATGTAAGATTAGCCGTGTGACAGAGCGAGAGAATAACAGCGCACTGTAATGTTAACTAACAGCGGGCATGTCAGAAGCATTAAGATAAAAACAAACAACAAAAAATCACGGCCACATCATTAATATGCAATTAATAATAATTCGCAATCGAAATGCAAAGCACAAATGCGACTCAAACTGCAAACTTTGACGTCTAGTTAAATGTCGAACGTACATACATATATATGTATGTATATGCCTGTATATGCAATGCATGCTTGTGTCAGTTTGTTTGTGTATTTGCTCATATGGTTCGCTTTTCATTGTCATCAATGTCGCCAGCGTGTTGATTACTCATGTAGCGAATTGAGAACTTAAAATGTGCAATAAGATTGGGAAGTACTACTCACACTACTCTCATATATACAAACGAACGATACGTACATACATAAGCATCATAAAAACTGCCTCTAGCCCGTTTATGGCCGGCCGGCCAAATATTCAAGATATTGTGAACTGAGGTTGTGCTGGGAGATGCAACAAATTTTGCTCACTCGCCGAAAATGACGTATCAAACTGATCATTTAAAAAGATCACTCAAAAATATGAACGCCAAAAAAAAAAAAAAAATAGGCGGCAAAATAAATTATTAAAAATGTTACAATTAATTGATAAGCTTAATCAATTGATAGCCCTAGTCTTATATTTGTGCAGCCCTAGATGCAAACAACTGTGACGTCAAAAATATCGCAATTTTTGGCTTCACATCTTCCCATCTCAACTGAATCTTCTGCGGCGGCCCACACGACGTACACGCAAATGTTGTGTTTATTTTGCTCAAAGGCTTTCGTCTTTTGACGACACTGCGACATTTAAATTGAAACACAAACATAAAAAAATGACATCATGCACGCAAAATCTGATTTTTGTTGGACTGTCGCAATTTCGTTAATTACAGGCAAACAACATGCGAGTTAAATCAGGTGCGTGGGTCATTATACAGCTATGTATGTACATTTATAGCAATAATTATACATGTGTATGCCTTAATACAGACATGACTGGACAGTGGTGTGAGTGGTTTAAGTTTATCTATTGTTTGCACTGCGATAAGTGACATTGCCATTAGATAATTACAAATTACCGCCCAAGAAATGGGAACTGAGCTCGTGAACTTATTTCGCGTTTCAATGCTAATTAATATAAGAATTAAATATGCATACCACGCGCGCACATTTAGCACGAATTTTGCAACACTGCACATGTTGCAGCAGGAGAGCGAGTGTGTCATACAAGCAGGATGTAAGCATACGTGTGTGCGTGCATCTTAAATCAAATTACAAATGAAACTGTTGCTGCGGCAGCAACACCAACAACAACACATTGTCGTTGTGTCTGAGAAGACGAGAGTAAATTAAAAAAAAAAGGAACAGCAACACTTGATGAATGTCATGCGTGTAATTCATACTGAAGAATAACAACAAGCAGCAGAGCCGCTTGAGCCGTTGCGACCGCTTAACAATGAATTCAACACACACACACACACACACACACACGCTTACAAAGAGACATACATGGCGACACGTACACACGCTCCGGATTTCGATATGTTTACTCACACACATGCGCCATTAATTGTTTGCAACAAATAACTGTAAAAGGTTTTTGTATACCTTCTTTTTGCACACACATACACATAAATCATACTGAGCAGAGTGCTAGTCATGTAAATAAGTTAGAACGTATTTACAGGGGGGGGAAAACAAACAAAAATAAAAGACAAGAGAATAAAAACAGCGCGCACGGAAAAAAGAGCTAAGAAACTGACAACAAACGCGAACGCGACGCGACGCGCGTTTTCTGACCGAGTCAACTGCAAGCAGTGTGACCGTAGTTTGCAAACGCAAAATGTTTGCTTCGGCGCGCGCGCCTGTTAATAACAGTGCAATGTTATGTATTTAGATAACAGCGCATGCGTGGCGTGTCGTCCAATACTGTTGTGCAAACGCCCTTTACAACACTTACACAACGCGCGCGATAAGCAAAATTATTAAAAAATCTAATTGTTAACAAGCAGGCTTACCATTTGACTTCGACGTTTTTTGGCCGACCAATGCCTATTACATTTTAAATTATAGGCAAAACCAAAACAGTTCGGCTGTTCAACTATTTCGTATTATTTTTTTTGTTGTCCCATTTTAATAAAACTGTGCAAACAAAATTTTTGGTGCACAGTAAACGTGTATTTTTTTGGTGTGCTGTGGCAAGAGAATTCCTCGATTTGGATCTACATTATGTCGTTCTTGAAGAATATGTTAAACGGCAACCTTAAGCGGAGCCCCGTGTCAGATGACAAGACTAAAGATAAAGACGTTGACATGCAACCAACAGATCTATTCGAGGGTGGACACAAGTTGACGGCGCTGGAGAACATTGGATCTTCCCTGACAACACTGTGGAGTAGTTGCGGATTAAACGTAATATCCAGTAGAGAAAACATCGAATCTCAGGCTGAGCGTAAGTACTACGGCAGGGTTTCGATCCCACAAAAAGATCACAATTAATCGTCAGCTAACTTTATAGAAAATAGTAAGTCGAACAATACTTCCAATGAAATTGCAAAGGCGAACAATGAAGACACAACCCTGGCTTCAACTTGTAAGTCGTAACCCGTAGCTACACGTCTAACTGCTCTCTCTAAAGCACGGACCCATTCAATTAATATTGGAATCCGGATCGAATCGTTCTTGATTCAATAACACGAAATCATCTTGCGTATCAATAACACCAAATCCACTAAATGCCACATTCTCATCAAAGCAAATTAAACAAATAACTGTCACAAATGACAAATGAAAACTAAATTTAAAAAATCAACAAAAAGGTATACAAATAAAAAAATGCATAAATAAATGATTACTTATATTGACTAATACGTTTTCCTTACACCTGCGAGGCTATAATAATATTCGATAGAGAAGTGTATATATATATATCTATATCTATATCTATCTCTCCAGATATATCTATATTTTTGGCTACCTAAGCTTACCCTTGAAAGGTGGAAAATCTTGGATCCCAAATTAAACCATTTTTTTTTTTTATACTGAAAATATTTCATTTGTAAAGTTTTGCAAATTTGCACCTACCAAATATGCTTAGATGACTGGGACCATAGCTTATAATTGTAGAATACTCTTAATAATAGTAGCAAATCGGAAATTAAGAAAATGTTCAATTAATAAGCATATTAGAAATAAACTATTGTATGTGCATGTTTTGCTATATGTGTCCACCAACTTCTTCAATATATCTATACTGTGCTAATATGAAATCCAACATAAAATCATTTTGAAAAAGCTGCTTGCCAGTTTTCTGATGGATGTTAGTGTCGCCTCTGGGTATGTCAGCAATGGACAAAAGGCGTCAACTACTGAACTGTACAGAATGAGAAACATTGCCGTGGACGATAGCAGAATGGGGGACGGCACATTTCTGTATCGATTTCACATGGTCGGGTTACCCATGAAAGCGTTTCCCAGCCGCTGAATGATGTGGCCCATGGGCCAATCAACTGAGAAGCCGGCCATTGGCTTAATGCCATCATTGATGACAGTTGAGTTTCATTTTCTTTATATATATTTCTGTTTCTTTTGTATTCTTTGGCAGTTGGCAGACAGATACCTTAGATAACTCGGCTTCCCATCTGATGTCTTCTTTTTTTTAACAACGTCTTTGGCCCCTGCCCCGAGACCAAATTCTATAGATGCGATTGCTTCTAGCGTGTCGTGGGCTTATCGAGCGGACGGACAACAGCAAAAAGAGACGTTTGGGGCCTACCGGAACCGCAAAAGCCACAAACCGCGTCGGCTTTGTGCGTTATTTTTGCAGTTTTACGTTTACGTTTTTATTTTTATTTTTTTTCTCTTAAATGGTTTTTTATTGTTTAGGTTTCGGTTTTTGGCCAGCCGGTCCGAAGACTCGTCGGGGTCTATGACCATCGGCAAACAAACGTCACTTATCGCTGCTCACAGGCGTCGCGGTGTTAGCCCCGTCCCCCGCCCACCGCAGTGGGTGACCAGCCCCCATCCCCACCCCATGATCGCTGGGCGGCACTAACGGATCGCATTACGCCTAGCTTTGGCAGCGGCACCTGAGAAAGACAGTGGGCAGTTAACTAGTCAGACAGTCGGCTGACCAGCGAGCATGACATAAGTATATTAAAAAAAAAAAAAAAAAAAAGCAACTAGAAATGTTTCTGTTGAGCATGCTCGGCTGCTAGATACCCTGCAGACAAGTTTTCAGTACAAAATGTTAAGAAAGTAAATCAACGGATTCGTCAACGATTATTTTAATGCTCTAATACAATATATTATATAAACCACTCCACGATTAAATTAATAAGAGGCATGCATTTTCACCATTTAAACAGGGTATTAGGAATCACTAACATTCACTCGTGTTTGTTCGTTTGTCTGTCGGTTTCGCCTCGATGTGAGTGTTACGCTTTGGTGCGCCCCCGTTGCCCTACAATTGGGGGTGTAGGAGAAGGATGGCCGGTTATGGATCTAAAAAGCTGCTTAATATTCAATTGATTGAAGCCAATTACGGTCTCTCAACGATGAATAATAACTAAAAGATTTTCTTTTTTTTTTTTGTAGCATTTAGCTATAAACCATCTACCATAAAACTGTGCTTAAGTGGCGCTCAGATCTGGGGCAGATCTATTGGATAATTAATAAAAACGATTAAGCGGTCAAAAGTTCTTACTGATCATTTTCGATCAATTGATGTAACGATAACTCATGAAGGTATTCATTTTTGGATAAAATGCGTATAGAGAAACATAAAAAATCGATATAATCGTTGTTTGATCGATAAATATTTCGTTAAATATTATGTGAGTGTCAGTAAACGGCGAGGTAGGGTATCGCCTATTCGTTGTCACCAAACACTCTTTCGAGTCTATCCCCCCCCACCATTACGATTCCCATTCCAGTTTTCATGCTCGAAATATGCTTTGTTGACATGTGTGTTTATGTTTGGGTGTTTATCGCGCGCTTTGTTCGCATTTCTACCATATGCTAAACATTTCGCGGCGCTTGTATAATGCTCTTTTATTATTCGATTGTTAAAACATATTATAATACGTTTTCCTTTCGTTTCTCGAGAAAGAAAGAAAAAAAACATACACAATAAATTATTAACAAATGGTTTCATTTTTACTTCAGCTATGTAGGTAAAAATAGAAACTAACGTTTTTTGTTGTTTTTCTTTTGGCTTTTGGCGTTTGTCGTTTGTCGTGTTGCTGTTGCTGTTGCATTTCTAAACTCATTTCTGTTAATATTTATGCACAAATTGTTAATGATTTACGTTTTGCTGTTGTTGTTGTTGTTTGGCATAGAATTGGAAAGTGAACTATACAAAATTTCACTCGAATTATATAATTAATGCGTTTTTAATGATCTTTTAAGTCAATTTCGCCAGCCAGAGATGGGTAAAGAGAAATAAAGATAGCTACAAATTGTCATAATTGTTCAACACTTACCCGCAAGAGATGCAATGTTGGAGGCAGCTGCAATCAACAGTAATAATCAATCAACGGTACACACAATACACATATATGTTCACATATATAAACGTTTATATGTGTGTGTTTGCAGCATATGCACTTTGACTTTGCTTTTGTAATTGCTAACAAACTTAAATGCCGTTAGACGACCACGTTGTTTAAGACACACTCTTTCTCTCCCTCTCTCTCTCTCTTTCTGTCTTCTGCAACTGCACTATAAAACAAATAAATAAAAAATGGAGCACATAAATAACTCATGTACTATGTGCATACACATCTATACCATATACATAAGAATTTGTATATATTTAAAGAACAAAAAAAAAACACATTTATGTTTTATACACAGCTGCTGCAGCAACCACAGGCATCGACTGCGACGTCGGCAGCGGTGCGCACGTTAATTGCATTAGAAATTCGTATGCGTGTCGGGAATGAAGCCTTGCAAGAGATCAAATTAAAACAAAAAAAAAAAAAATTAAATTCAACTAATTAGCAATCATTTGCGGCTTGAGCTTGTTTTAAGCATTTCTTTGGCACAAAAATTCCAATTAGACAAGAGCAGTGCAAATGCCATTTGTTATTGTTGTTTGTCTGCTAGTCCCGTTATTTCTCATACACACACACACACACACAACACTGTCATAGCACAAAGAAACAGATAGAGAGAGGTTGAGAGGCAGACTCTGTGACCTCGTCTTCATCTCGGACTGCACTGCACGCTTGATAGCCAATTAATATTCATTAAATAGATTTCGATGATATTGTTGCTGTTGTTCTGTTTTATTTATAGACGAAATGCAACGCGACATACAAATAGATCAGTATTGACAACAACAACGGTAAAGCCCTAAATGTATACTGTTAGAAACACATACGGACGCGTTCCTAATTGATTTTTGCCAATATTGTTGTTGCTATTATTGTTATTATTATTGCAGATGCCTTTGCTGCTCGTGTGTTAGCAGCCTTAGCTTTGATTGTTTGTGTTTGCTGCAGCGGCGTCTGTTTCTGTTTGCCTTAGCTACCAATGTGACCGTTCTTCGTTGTCGGTAAAATACCAAGACGTGGCTCGAAATACCATATAGACTAGTTTTGTTAAATTTATTTTGCAACAAAAAAAAAACACATTACATTAGATAAATTACCAACTAAATTATCAAACATGCTCAGTCCTTCACCCGCTCTACGGTGTTTGAGTCGAAGGGTACCTCTTCCACTTTAGAAAATCCTGATAGACGTATAATTTTTCCGGAGCCTTCAACTCTAATATGCTTGGCAAATTGCTGTGCCGGTGACAGGGCCAGATCCTCCTCCGATTTGTAGCCATAGTGTTTCGCCCAGTCGTTGCGACCGGTGAAGACCATGTAGCACACTAAGCCAAACGCTTGCCATGCCAGTATTGCATAGCCAATGCTTAAGCGACGCTTCCATAGATCGGCACGATGCTCTGGTATCGGATTTGTGTGGCGACGTACGAAACGCCGAAGCCACTTCATTTCAAACAATGCCATTGCCTAGGTTTTTATGTTGCCTATTATGTAAATATTTCCGATCTCGAGTTTAGCAGCGCGATATTCTGAATTGTAAAATAATGAAAAACAGCTGATTGCTAATAGAGATGAGAAACACTGTGGTTGGCAGAGTTACCAATGCCAGGGAGGACAGTGTGGCTGTATTAAATTAATCTAAGCAAATTTGTTAGCCTTTACATATGTATGGCTATAGCTCTGGGCGAAGTATCTAGACTGTTCGATTTTTTTTATTCGTTAATGTTTTCTTAAAACAACAGTTGAACATTTGATATACTATTTCAATTTGCGGTTGTACTGGGCCCAAACACAGCTGTAGTTTGCCGCCATTTGTCCAGGGTATTCAACATGCTTGAAGTATTGGCCCTACCTGTTCGTCACTGGGTCTTGCCCATCAAAAATTGCCTATTAACCACAATGTATATTGTGATAAATCGATGTGCCTCTATCTACATATGGTTTAAAAAAAATATCTATAAAATAAAACAAGAGTTTGAAATATCCATTTGTTGGCCAATTGGTTGGTATTTAATTTGTAGCAAAGTGGCAACTCTGTCAAACAAACGGTGCTTCATAGAATGCAATGTTGTTTTTGTTATAACATAATATTACAAAAAAAGAAGAACTCCAGTTTTAATTTCATTTTTGAAAGTGATAATTTTATGCAGATACATTCAGTTCTAGCAAGCAATAGGTGAGTACATTCATTATACAATTTTCTATATACAAATGTGGTGAAGTAGGCTTTAATGATATTTTAATATTGTTGAACCCTTAGTATAGAAAGGAAACTCTTTTAGCGATTTGCTGCCAGACTGCAAGATGCCTACTGCGCAGCAGACGCCTCAGCAGCAGCAGCAGCAGCAACTGACCAACGAGGAGAGCAATGGCGTCAATGAACCAAAAGTTGAGGACGATAATATGCCAAATTTGTCAACACTATCGCTAGATGAACTGAAGCAGCTTGATCGAGATCCCGAGTTCTTTGATGATTTTATTGAGGAAATGTCTGTGGTGCAGCATTTGAATGAGGAGCTGGATTCCATGATGAATCAAGTAGAGAACATATCGCGTAAATATGCTCCGATATCTTGCACAGTTTGACTCTAAAGCTACTCTATATACAGGTGAAAACGAAAGCAAGGGCACACATCTAGTTGAACTAAAGCGACGGCTCAGCGACGACTACACGGCGCTTAAAACGCTCGGTGAAAAATGTGATCTATTGAACAAGAAATACTTGAAGAAATCGGAGGAATATGCACCACAGCACATTCGAGTAAAATGTCCTACAATTTTAAACGTTATTGATAATCATTCTAATAAGAAGTTTTTCATACAGGAACTTTTGCAAATAGCCGCCTCAAATGCGGATGCCGACTGTGATCGTCATGTGGAGCATTTCCTGAATGGTAAAATCGATGTGCAGACCTTTCTCAATACGTATCAGAGCTCAAAGAAGATAAGCGCTGAGCGAAAAGCCAAGGAAGAACGGCTAGGCACCCAGCTAACCGCATTGGAACGTGCAGGCATATAGGTAGATGATGATGCACCTGCTATTGCACATCTACTTAAGCCCAACTCGTTATTGTGTTTTACTGTTTTGTTCATTACAAAGCCGCAATATATAGAGATTAAGCAAATAGCAACGTATTGTAGAACTTGCTCGCTCGAGAAAAGTGTAAAATCTAGTTATATTTATATATATATATGCATCATTATTGATAGCAGTTAAGTCGATAGGGCAATCAAATTATGGTTCTTAGTTATATTTTACTATGGAATTTGTGTAATAATTAACTTTGTATTGTAATTGTCGCTTGTGGTGCGACTGTCCAAATAATTTATTACCCAACAGAATGTATGTGCATGTACTAAGGAATTATAAAAGTGTATGACCGAAATATATTTACAAAGATTTACGTTAATGCGTCCGTGCAAATTACATTTTAGAATTTTAACCAAAGCAACTCGTGTGAATAAAGGCATATATGTACATATGTTTAGTCCCAGCTGACGTGTTAACTTGTAATTTATTGTATTACAAATTTTCACTAGAATCATATGTAGGTACAATTTTTTTTCGCTAAATTTAAGTTCGTCGGCTGTTGTCGGAATCTAAACTCGCATATTTACGTTTGCATTAGTTTTCCACAAACTGCCGCCAATTGCCATCGCTAAGCTGTTGGTTTTTTTTTTTTTTTTAGTTAGTAACACTGCAGCTAAAATATCGATTGGATATGTATCGATATAAAATAAAACGAAAGTTAACTAACACTTGACCATTGAAACAGTGCTAATAGACGTCAGCATTTGCGTTCCCGCCAATATATGTTTACATTCGCAGAATAACTTCATTTGTGCGGCCATCATTGCGAACGTTATAAGTTATAACAAATCGGATAAATTTCATATTAAGTATGGGGAAGTGCACTCTTTGTCGCTCGAGCACAGATGACGAACTGCGCCTTGGCAAGTTTCATAGCCGTGGCAAAATTGATGTGCACGAAAATTGTCTGGTATGTAAAAACAATGGTGCTCAAAACAAAACACATTATTTACGAACACAATCAATCGCTATAGTATTTGAGCTCCAATCTGGTGCAACGGGGCAATGGGAGCAATGACATTCTGAATTTTACTGTAAAGGATATTCAAGCCGAATCGGAACGCACCAAATGTTTGGTAAGTTTTATGCAGCTGTTATTAATTGCAAGCCGCCATTCTGCCTTATACAGGGTGGCTCAGCTACCTGCTCAACCTTTTTTTTTTCATATACCCTTGCAGTGTGTGTATTTAAAGGACACAAGCAATACATATATATATATATATATTTATATACTTACATACCTTCATGCTGAGTGCGTATAAATCTTTCCAGCTAGAACTAGTAGATGCGCACCTTTTGCCTTTTACTATACCATGGCAACAAATTTAAAATGTTATATATCGTTTTTTGTTTTATAAATTTCAGTTTTGTTGCTACTGCCATAAGGCGGGCGCCAACATTGGCTGCTGCAAGCCCGGTTGCCGCAAAGCGTTCCACACGCCTTGTGGGCTAAATAACGGCTCACAGAATCAATATGTTGGCACGTACAAATCGTTCTGCAATATACACATTGAATCCTACACAGAACGTCCCAAAGCGAGGGAGAGATGTGTGATATGCTTTGAGCTGCTGGTGAAGCCGGGTAATACGTTTAGCTGCACCAAATATATGCACGGCAAGTGCTGCAACAACGGCTGGTACCACAAGGACTGTCTGCAGCATTATGCCAACTCGGCTGGTTATTTTTTCAAGTGCCCGTTGTGCAACGATACCGAAAGATTCCGTTCAGTTGCATACTGGGGCATTACGGTGCCGGATCGGTAAGTTGTTGTGATTAAGTTCTGAGCTCTTGTTGAAAGGCCGAGGTTTGATTTGGTTCCTTTTGCAACAGTGATGCCTCTTGGGAGGAGAATGATGCGTTCGCCGATCAGCTTGTTGTCCCGACCCAGTGCACCGCACAAAATTGCATTAGAGCCGGTGGACGCGAAGGCAGCACACTGACAATGTTCTACTGCGTGCTGTGCGGTTCGAATCCGATGCATACGGAATGCACGAATCTTAATAATGAAACCTATCGATGCAATGATTGCAGTGTGGTTCCGTATAATCCGTCCATGTATGAAACTGATGAATCCGATGTCGATGTCAAGGACGACGATGAAGATGATGATAATGATGATGATGATTTGGATCCACTTGAAATTTTTGCTTCGATGGGAACTGCAGCCGTAGGAGGTACAACGACTTGCCAATTAAATCGTGCTCTGCCGCAGAGCAGCAATATCAAGTATACAATAGCTGATTCCGACTCTGAATCAGATTTTGACTGGAATAATTTTCCATCCCGCTCATCACGCTGCACAAACGAGAAGGAGAATGTGACCAGGGCAAACGCAATAATACCAACAACAACACGACCCAACACAAATCGGACACTGCGCAACACTGCACCACTGCGCACGCGTAACCGTCAAACATTGCCCAGTGATGATGGGCACCATAACGGGGCTCAACGGACTCGTTCAAGTCTCTACGCTGAGTCCCGACACAACAAAGACGCTGAGCCCTTGGGTTGCCGTACTCGTTCGCGCTCAAGGCAAAATATTGCCAGATTGTCAGCAGATGAAGTGGAGTTGGGCGACAAGTTTAATGGGGAACCAATTGCACAACGCACCCGCAACTCGCCATGCGCAATCCAAAGGGATACACCGACATTGATCTCGTGCCGGCGATCGCGCAGACGCAGCATCGCGGGGCAGAACCTGAACCGTGGACTCCATTCGCCATTCGATATATCATGTGTGGCGAATCGGACACGCGCTCGTTCCCGCAAGTAATGACTGAATGGGTACTATATCCATAAGATTATTGTAAATAATTTAATTTAACCGTATCATCTTTGTACATAGCTTTTGCTTAAGTGTGTTAATTTGAGTTACTTATGTCTAATTTTTAATTAAGTTAGTTGAGAGAAAAGAATAAGGTAAAGAAATATTTTTTTTTTTTCATTTTAATAAGTGTTGTTAGTTCTCTATTACACATACTATCAAACTAAAGAATTTTGTATTTTTATTTGTGTAAGCTCAAGAACAATGTTCCAATGCATTCCTAGTATTTGTTTTTTATTAATTAGATAGAGAAAAAGAGATAAATGCGTCTCGCTCTTTTTCATAGCAGACAGAAAAGTACACTTGAAGTGCGTGTGGAACATTCAAGAAAATATATATATTAATAAATAACTATATATACATACAATTTTGATTTGATAACTAAATACTGCTTGTTTTAGTGTGCTAATGCTAATTAACTTTTAAGAACAAACATTGAAATAAATAAGTGATGCTAGGAAACAGTGGGAACGTGGCATAATCGGTATTACAAATGCTCTTATCCTAGTCGATGTTATAGAGATGTAATCTGGATACTTCGATATCAACAACGCTGATAAGTGTTGCTTAGTTTTAAGAGGTATTGGATATTTAAAGATAATTTATGCTACAATCATGGCACATAAATATATTAGTTGCTCTTTTTATATAATGTATTGTATTCAGTAAATAATAATTGAAATTTTGGAATCAAACTGTTATCGATGATAAAGTCAGTGCTGTGAAGTGTCGCACATATTTGTATATCGTTGGCAGCATCGATACATCGATGTATTTTTTATATCCGTACTCCATTCCATATATATACGTGCGTTAGTAATAGTTTACTCATAAAATGCATATAATTTAAGAATATGAATTTAATTAAGTTATTGAAGCCAGTCAGCAGAGCAGGTGCAAAATAAACCAAATATAATTTAAACACAAGAGTGCATATATATATGTGTGTGGAATTTTAACTTACAACGTCTAATAATAAAAGGCATAATTCGCTGGCATTGTGTGCAAGAAAGAGATAGGGCAAAAGAAAGAAGTTACTAATTTATTGTGCGTATGCGTTGTGTTTGCTGTCAGAGTGACATTAATAGCTTTGTTATATTTTTAAATACGCATAGCAAATAGTAGCCAAAATATAAACGTATCAACATTATCGAAAGTTCAACTACGCTTCCGACACACCAGCAGCAGAAGAAACAGCAACAACAATAACAACAAGTCGGCCTCTGTCTGACATTTCATGCTTTGCGGCCCCTATCCAAATTGCTGATAAATACATGCAAAAGCAACACCAACATCAGAGCAGCAGCAGCAGCAGCGTCAAGTGCTTTAACGCCGGGAATTAAATAACAAGTAACAAACTATAAACTCTTCGTACAACAACAGTAATAACAATAGCGAGCTTATCACACACACACACACACACGCACACACACATCCGCAGCAGCAGCAGCCAGAAGAACAACAGTTTATCATATTTGAGCAACCGGCAGCAGCAGCAGCAGCCACCATCAACGCTGTGAGTGCGAGCGAGAGGCAGAGGCACACGCAAGTGTATATGTGTGTGGGTGTGTCTGTCTGTGTGTGTGTGGGAGCAAGGCACAGGCACGGCAAAAAAACACCAACAACAACAACAAAAGGCAGCAAGCAGTAGCCGGAGCAGCAGTAGCAGCAGAATATTTTCACAAATTTTTGCATTGTTCAACTGGACGGCAGCGTCAGCGCCGCTGCCAGCGTTAACCTCAACGCCGATTAACTGTAAATTACAACAGCAGCTCCAAAATGGCACGCCACTTTGATCATATGTTCAAGTTGCTTATAATTGGCGACAGCGGTAAGTGCAACTGCAAATATTTCCATACACACACGTACATACTAACACATGTATGCATGTATTTTGTACATACAACATGCTTGCATTTTTCATGCATCTTTTACACCTGCCCAGCAGTAAAGCAACGTTATAAATAGCAACAAACCAAATAAAAAAAAAGAACACATACACACAGAAAACAGGGTAAAAACCTGCGCGGCTTTTGCTCAATCCCAATTTGTGCATTTGCCTGGCCCACGGTTTTTTTGGCTTGTGTTTTTGACCGATTTCTTTGTTTGGGTTTTGTGTTTGCGTTTTATCTGCGTCCAATCAGCTGTTTTGTCTCTTTCTCTGTCTGTTGGCGCAATCTGTAATGTAAAACAAATTATAAATCTGTTAGCAGTTGCTGCTTCCTAACCCCCATTTTTGTTACACGTTTCATTAATTTGGCATTAGCGTGCTCTTTCTCTCGCACTATGCACGCTTATAGCTTATCGATATACAATTAAGCTTAATCAATATATATATATATATATATATATATATATATGTATTTATGTTGTGCATGAATATGAATTTTCAATTTTTGGCATCTTGTATTAAAAAGTGTTGCCAGATCTTGAAATAATTGACTTTTACTGTTACATAAGGGGACTTCAAACTCGAAATTCGAGTATCGAGTACATTTGCACTTATAGGTAAATACAAAATTTGTTGATCATTTTATTCTTAAATTGCATTTGCCACAAAAGTGTCGGTTAATGCGAACTCATAAACAGCTCGAAATGCAATCGAGTTGTTGCCTCCGCTCAGTTTTAAGGGCGTTTTGAGCAACTGCAATTGTAATTAGAGAACTGCCAGCTACCAAATGATTTGTTGTCGCTGTTTGTTGTTGCATAAACAGAAAGTTTCAACGATTGTTACACGCTTGCACTTACAAAACAAAAATAAAAAAAAAAAAAAATAAATCCACTCACACAATTACTACATAATTGCATGAAACTGATTTGTACACAATTTCCAATTTCCAATTTCTTCAATCTATTAAACTCTGTTCGTGCATTGTTGCAGGTGTGGGCAAATCTTCGCTCCTCATACGATTTTCAGATGACACATTCTCGGGCAGTTATATAACGACAATTGGAGTGGATTTTAAAATACGCACCGTTGTGATCGACGGATTGCGGGTAAAGCTGCAGATCTGGGATACGGCTGGACAGGAGCGCTTTCGCACCATTACCAGCACCTACTACCGCGGCACACACGGCGTGATCATTGTCTACGATGTCACGAATGGCGACTCCTTTGCGAATGTGCGCCGCTGGCTGGAGGAGATACAGAACAATTGCGATGTGGTCAACAAAGTATTAGGTGACTAGTTGGGATTATATAATCTAAACATTTGTATATTCTAACTTTGTTCATTTTAATTGCTTTTCCAGTGGGCAATAAAAATGATGATCCGGATCGCAAGGTGGTCATAACAGAGGATGCGCAACGCTTTGCGCGGCAAATGGATATTGAGCTGTTTGAGACATCCGCCAAAGACAACCTCAATGTGGAGGATATGTTTCTGTCCATAACGCGACAGGTGCTGAATCATAAGCTGCGCACCGCCTCCGATGAACAGCAAAAGGATCGCATCCAAGTAAAGCAAAGCAAGAACAAGGGGAAAACCAACAAATGTTGCAGTTGAAAGCGAAGTCGTGGCAGCAGCAATAGGATGTGGATGAAGATACGTTGTGGGGGCGCGTAGTACAGGTTCATAAGGCAAACACTCAAACATATACACACAGAAACTTATACACAGATAGACAAACATATGTAGCTTACACACACATACACATGCACAAGACAAATTTTTTGTTTTTTTTTTTTTTTGTTTAATGCCTCAGAGCCGTTAAAAGATGTGTAAAGCGCAATTAAATGTATTTAGCAATTTATATACATATTATACACATACATATATATATGTATATATATATATGTATATACATATAAATATATATATATATATATATATGTTAATGTATATATATATATTTATATATATAGTATAGTGGTGTATATATATATATTTATATATATAGTAAACAAAAAACAAATTGCATATTTATACAAGAATATATTTATATTTAAAAACGGAAACAAAACAAAGAAAATTGTATTTACAATAATAACGAGAAATCAAACAATAATTGCGAATACGCAGCCGACAAATTGAGAACAAATGTATCTGGTTTTTATCATTTACCTATCGCTGGCATTCGCCATGGAACGTTTTTACACGCAGACTAACATATATCAACTCAATATTGTATAAAATTAAAACATATTTTTACATAGTTGCGACTATTTTTCTACAGTTCAGTTAGGTGATCTTTGTGGCAACTACATCGATATAGAATTAACTCCACAAACAGTTTCAGAAACCCGAGAAGCCAACTACTTTTGCTATTTGACGCCCATGTAACACATTTCACTACCCATTTAGTTGAATAATTAACATTTATTATTAATTTTATTTTCGTGACTCTGTAAATTAATTTGCAATTGTTTTCGAAACGCCAATTAGATATGATACTGATATTACGTAATATTGTATATGAGCGTATTTTATATTTTTATATAGACCTATAAATCAAAGTCGTATAAATATTTGTTGTGTTTCAACACCAAATATAATTATTTAATGGACAGACTTTTAGAAAGTGCGGTAAATCCATAGTCAGTTATATATATATATGTTGACTATGGATATTTATAAATATTCATGCATACATATTAAAAATATACAGAAAGATTGATATGAACGTTATCAAATAAAGTAACTAATTCAATTTTAAAGAACTTTCAAAATTTATTACTAAATTGGCTAACGCTTTTTCACACACACACACACACACATATATATATATATATAAATATACACATATATATTATATATATATCTATAATATATATGTATATATATGTATCTTCAAATTCGATTTGTAAATTAAGAAACTAATTTGGCCTGTAGAAATTTATAGAATTTTAGCTTGGCTAAGTTTTGATCAGAAATCGTAAACTCATTTTGTTTATTCAGCTATTCAGTTTATCGATGTCTGTGATCGATAACAAGCGTATCAGTTTTAAATATATTTGAATGCAATGCTTAGCTGCATTGACGATTGGCAATACCCGGTGGAGTATATACGGGATTGCCACTATCAAGGTGCAAGGTGTTCGAAAATGTAGTCAACCCTCCAATTACTAAGACTAAGCTACATCTGACTATTATATCATAAAAAATGGGTTTTCGTTGAAGATATCTTAAAGAACAACAATTTTTCTAAATGAAAACTCATTTTGCAACGTAAATTCCAAGTCAAGCTCTCTTGAAAACCGCAATTTTTATCATTCAATAACCTAATGCTCGAACTTTGTATATGGTCTATATTAAGACATTTCTATATCGCTACCGATCTAAAATATACATGTACATATATCTGATCGGATCTACGTGTTCTATGCATTTCATGACTAAATTATAATACTCTCGGCAAGGTTATATATATACGTATATACGCTTTGTGCCTGTAAAAAAGATAATTTTTTTTTTTTTTTTTTTTTGGTTTTATAATACATAATTATGTAGCTCTTTTTATTGTAATGTAAGCCGAAGTTTGTCAGTGAATTAGGTGCATTAATTGAAGTATTTGTTGTTTTGATCTTTCATTATTTCGATTGGAAGCTGAGTTGAGCTTGAGCCGTGAGTTGAAGTGTTGGCAGGCAGTGCGGCGTTTGCTATCCACCCACGGAGAGATGGGCCAGCGCTCAGTGGTATTTGGCCACTGGGAAGAGGCGTGTCTGGCGGCAGGAGACAAGCGCATCACCCGACTGGCCATGTGGACAACGGCAGACGGCGAGATGTGCCTTGGCCTCGCAGCTGGCGCCAGTGGCGCATTTGCCAATGCACGGATCGACGCACTGATAGTTGATGCAGGCCCTGTGGTCCGGGCACTCGTTGTTGCTCAGGCACTCACCCTAAAATGCAGAGAATATGCGTGTATAACTATCTGTGCCGGTGGACAGTTCTTGAGCTCTGACTTACGCGTGAGCAGTGGGAGAGCGGATTGCCAGTGTGGCCCGGCAGGCAATTGCAGACGGGTCGCTCGCGTCCGGTATTATCGTGGCCGGGCACACAGATGGCATTGGTGCCGCACGGATTCGGCTCGCACAGATCCTCCTTGGTGAAGGGGCGACAGCGCACGAACGGATCGCCGGTCATGTCGCGTGGGCAGCTACAGACGGGTGTCAGGCCGCGCAGATTACAATCGGCACCAACGCCGCAGGCGCCATCGCATGTATTCTTGCAGATGCCATAGAAGCAGGCCGGTCTGCCCGCCGGGCAATCCGAATCACCATAACATTCCGGCCGGCATTCAGTGTACGGACTGCCAATATAGCCTTTGGGGCACTCACACAACGCCCTATGATTGGACACCGACTTGCAGTTGGCCCCGATGCCGCACTGTCCGCAGGATGGCACACACTTGTAGTTGCTGCACATATCCCGACCGCCGCAGTCGCCGTCGTGCTCGCACTCGTGCCGACAGCCGCTCAGCGGATTGCCCAGAAAGCCGTGCAGGCAGGAACAGGTGGGCACTCCATTAATAATCTCGCATTTGGTGTTAATGCCGCACGGGCTCGGATGGCACTGTTCCTCTGTGAATGTGTGAAGGTTAAAGGTAAGAGCTCACGTTTTTGATAGTTAATATATAGAGTATTGAGAGTACATATATGTTCTATATGTGGACATATAATCCTAACATTTCTAAAAAGCTATAAAACCTTGCATTTCAAGACTACTTCACCGCATCGGAGAAACAATCTCGACTAACTTCGGTGCTTAGAAGTCGAATCCTTATGAAATTTATGTAAATCGATTATAGTATCTACCAAAATATTATCTCTCATTAAGGCGGAATATTATATAAGCCTTGGACTTTTCCATGAGATCTGTCTGTCTGTAAATGTCCTGCTACCAAATCGATAATAATTAATATTAAGTGTACGACGATTTGTTCATTGTATTTGATCATTTATGCAAATATTCAAGGGAAATAGTAGGTGGAAAATAGGTGGAAAACTAAAGAGAATCTTTAAAGAGTACCTGATGTCTGGCAATCATTCGGAAATACTCACTGAAATTTATAAATAAACATAAACGTTAAAAAAAGTAAAAGAAATAAATATAAACTCTAAATTTTTTTTGTGCACGTAAGTGTATTTAATATGCGGATATCTTTCGCTCCCTCTCTCCCTCTCTGTTTCTCACTCTCTCTCTTTCTCTCTCGTTTTTCGTAATAAAGTGAAAAATCGATTATATATTCTATAGTTTAATTAAAAACTGCAAATTGCCTGCGACTTTTATGGGAAATATTTCAATTGAACACATTTTCCATATTTTTTTTCTTCTACTTATAATTTGTTTTTGCTTAACTTTGTCGGCGGCAACTAAATATTCTAAAATTTCTAATTTGCATGAAAATTTATTTGAATGCTGATTTATATGCATTTACAATTAGCATTTAGCTCAAGCCCATAAATTGAGGGCATGTGCAGGCAGTTGCCCACACATGATACCCTATATGAGGACACATGAGACGCCTACTTGAATTTGTATACTATGCATACATATATATGCACATTATATTACGTAAATGTGTATAGAGATTGGCCGATGGTCAGTTTCGGAGCTGTGAATAGTTTGGTTAGCGGCCAAAAGTCGGGCACATTTGAGTTATACCAAATTCATGCATTGGCAGTTGGGGTAGGGACCCGGGTTAGGGATTCGGAGTAGGGGCCCTGGGTAGGGGGCTGTGGGCTTTGGGATACGCGTGCGTATCAAATTGAGCAAATCTATAAATAAATATAAGCATTTAGCTCTTAGTTGACTTTCTTGGCCATTGCAGCGATTATGGCACAACTTTTGTCATGGAAACAAATACCAATTTGGAAACTTGCCTCCATTATAATCATCATCAATGAAAGAAATACAGCGAAATACAAGGAACTCCAACTGGCTGGGCATAGGGCGAATAAAAAAGCAAATTATAAGTAAAAATTATGCGCATAAATGAGCTTTGACTACTTATGTATTTGAACTGGCCCAGGAGCAGTTCGAGCGAGCTACTGCGGCTCTGACTGGCCAATGCCGATTTATTCAGGGCCATTTCAAGTGGACCTTCCGCCCCACCTTCAATTCACCCAATTATTTGCGCTTTGTTACTGTGCTCAAGTGCGTGTGAGGATAAGTATGAGCGACTGTGCGACCGTGCGACTGAATGCGGCGCGGGTACCCTTAAGGGGTCAATGCCGGGTCCCGGCGACCTGCACATGAATTACATGACCCTGCATAAATCACAAAATAACCAAACAACAACGAAAACAACGAGCCGCTTATTAAAGATACGCTAATGTATACCCTATGCCAAAATTATCATATTTATTATTAGAAATATTATGAGCATCAGATCCGCAAAACCCGAAATAAGTATTCGTCGCTGCGGTTCGCGGCTTGTACCAAGTCCCTGCCTCTTGTTTTGGTTCGGTTTGTGAATCTGGTTTGCCATGTGCACGAAACCAGGCTTGGAATATGTGTGCTTTGTCTAAGTTTTAATGGAATATTTGAATTTCTAATTTCTTATTGCCCGTTCTACTGAAAATATTGCAGTTCGTAAATATTTTCACACAGAAGTTGCGGGCTAAATTCGTTTTCCACCCAAAATTTTTATCTTGCAGAATTCTTAGATAAGTTAAATGTTTGGGCACCACATTTTTTAAATATTTTTTTTTTCTAGACACAGTTTAATTTTAAGCAAAATATGGATTACTTTGTGTTTATCTAGTGAGAACTGATATATTGTCTATGTTATTTTTAGGCT